AATCAACGGATTTATGGGAATTGTCTGTGCTGATACTGGCGCTACTCACACTATAGCGGGAGAAACATTATACAATCTCCTTGAAAGAACAAGGATCAGAATTTAAGAAAAAAACTATGAAGGTCACTCTTGCGGGCGGTATTCAAAGGGACGAAGAGGTCGACATGACCCAGGTAGACATTCACATTGAAGGAAGATCATTCCACATAACTTTATTTGCGCTTCCCTCAGCAAAGGGTAATAGGACACTTTTAGAATCGGACTTTCTTAGAAGCACTGGAATTGTTTTAGATCTACAAAATCATTGGGGGTTTTACCACAATAATCCGCAACAAAAGTTTATTGATAATGATTCTAAATTCAATGATCGAACCGAATGTACGTCGGAAGTTGACACTGTACTGTTAAGAGAATGTGAAGGACAACATCTGTTGCCTCATCAAAGATCACAATGAAATTAACTAGAGTCAATATTCAACTATCTTCCAACCAGCGGGAGAAGCAACACCTTTCATAGAACATCGAATTAAACTGGAAACTAGTAGCTGTACCACCATACAGAATGAACCTTGCTAAGAAAGAAATCTTAAAGCAAGAAATTGACAAGCTCTTATCTGAAGGAATAATTGAAGAATGCGAATCCCCTTATGCATCCCCAGTTGTTTTAATAACGAAACCTAATGGAACAGTACGCCTCTGCATAGATTACCGGAAATTGAACACGATTATAGTTCCAGATTCCTACCCACTTCCGAGAATGGATGACCTGTTACATGAGGGAAAACCTACTTCTTTCATGTTGACCCTTGATCTTCGTGCAGATTATCACCAAGTGAAGATTCATACTGATGATCAAGACAAGACAGCATTTGTGTGTCCCTTCGGAAAATATCGTTTCTTACGAATGCCCTTTGGTCTTCGGAATGCCCCAGCAACATTCCAAAGATTGATAGACCATTTTCGCAATGGACTTGAGAACATCCTAACTCTCACCTATCTGGACGATATAATCGTGCTGTCCGAATTGTTCGAGAAACACTTTTCCGATCTCAAAGCTGTTTTCGAAAGGCTTTTGCTCTTCAAACTGCAAGCAAACAGAGAGAAGTGCCATTTGGCTTCTTCTCGTGTGAAATATTTGGGATTTTGGATCACACAAAAAAGAATCGAAGTTGATCCAGAAAAAGTTTCCTCTATCTAGATAATTCCACCTCCCAAAAACATCAAGGAACTCCAATCCTTCCTTCAAACATGTTCTTGGTTTACACGATGTATACAAAACTTCGCGGAAATATCACAACCTCTTACTGATTTGACGAAGAAGAAAGTCCAATGGGAATGGGGTTTCAACCAGCAAAAAGCATTTGAAACTCTAAAAACCTGCCTCATAACACCTCCTGTGAAGCAAGCAAATAGAACTCAACCGTATGTTCTACGAACAGATGCAAGCAATTATGCTCTTGGAGCCGTTTCACTTCAAGGGAAAGGGTCTAAAGAGCACCTTATCAAATATGCCAGTCGACTGCTTTCTCCGGCTGAGCGAAACTATTTGACGACTGAACGAGAAGCCCTTGCTGTAGTCTGGGCCCTGAAAAAATTCCGCGGTTACGTTGAAGGATCGGAAGTAATGATAGCATCCGATCATCAACCTTTAAAATATCTTTTGAACCTCAAGTCTCCGACCGGAAGACTTGCTAGATGGGCGCTTGAAATTCAGTCTTTCAACCTGAAAGTACAATACATTCCTGGAAAGGCAAACGTCATCGCTGACAAGCTGTCCCGTCCAAGCTCCAAACATAAAGTTTCACCTTGCGAGATTTCAAATATATCTGTAGTGGACATGCCCACAAGAAGTCCTAAAGACATGCGGGAATCTCAACTTAAAGATGAAGACTTAAAAAAGATTATAGAAAGTTTCAAATCCACTCAGAAAACTGAAGAATGTGCCAACTGGACTGAATGGGGATTCTTAATGAATCAAGGTGTTCTCTACTGATATGTCCCTGACTCAGATTCAGAAGAGGCCCAATTAGTAATTCCAACTGCCGAGTATGAATCAATCATGCGAAAGCACCATGATGATCCAATGGCTGGACATTATGGAGAGGAACGAACATTCCAAAGAATTGCCAGACGCTATTATTGGACTGGTATGAAAACGTACATATCAGACTATGTGAAAAGCTGTCCTGAATGCAACCACTACAAGGCTACCAACCAAAAGCCAGCTGGACTGCAGAACTCCTGTCTATTCTCAACGTTTTGAGATAATATCTATTGATTTGTTTGGGCCACTGCCAAAAACTGACACTGGAAAACAATGGATCTTCATTGTCGAAGACTGTGCTACGTGATGGATTGAATTATTTCCTCTTGCTCAAGCTACAGCATGCGACTGTGCTGTATCTTCTGTATCTGTATGTGACAAATGAATATAAAACTGATAGTTTCTGACTTCTTGGTATAATTAAAAAATTTTTCATCTTCTAAAAAAGAATTTGGAAAACTATCTGTTAATTTCATCAAAGCAGCTTTCATTTCATCAAACTATCTGTTAATTTCATCAAAGCATCAAATTGCTTCATCATGCAGAACAGCATCAATCTACAATAAACAAATAAATATTAATTAAATTCGATGAAAAGAGGTCTTTCTTTAGAGATAACATTTTTTGCATATAATCTAAATTCTATAAATGCATCTTTCAGAATGATTTAGATTCTTTTCTTAATGGATTAACTTTTCCAGAATTCCTAAAAATTTTTGTCACTTCTGCATTTTAATTAATCATTGACTTCTTCAACATTACTGTCCACAAAGATTACATATCTATAATATGACATGTCACATATAATTTTGATTACAATATTACCAGAATATTATATATAGGAAATATAAACATCTTAAATCCAGAACTCCAGCTATATTTGGACCAAAATCATCTCTGTATGCATAAAATAAAGCAAAATATAATATTTTATTAACAATTTTAAAACATTTTGATTAAAAAGCAATTTGTATCTATCTAGCTTTCCTTCAATAAATAATACAAGTAAACAGAGTAAGTGATGAACACACATACATAAAATCCCAATTTTATTTAAATTTCTATGCTCTAATAAAGCATTTAAAAATGGGGTGAATATGATATGAAGCTCTACTAGTTACCAAGATAATAAAAATTTAATAAAGTTTGCAGTTTGCACTGCCTAAAGTTTTATGGAGAGAAAACAGGTTTATCTAAATAAGCTTTACTACTTGTATTGAAAATGTCTTTCACTTTTTGTAATCACTACTGTTTATTTTTCACTCACAATAAGTATTAATTAAAGTATGACATTATCCCAAAGATAAACCTACCTCCATTTCAGAACACAAAGAACAAAAGTCTTCAATAAATCATTAATAACTTTCAAATAACAATTTATTTGAAGAGATTTTTCTTCACTATGTTTCATCTATTTCTATCACTATTTATTTTAAATAACTATAAAATCATAATTAATGAGAAAAAATGCATTAACATTTTTCTAGTACTATACAAATAACTTTACATTGTTTGTTATTGTAAATATTCTGTAAGCTTGGTCAACAATACTATTATTAATAGAAAATAAATTTTGATTAATTACATAACTAATTACAATAAAAAAATAAATACAGTCAAAAGTCGTTAATTCGGACACCCATAATTGGGAATGATCTATAATCCGGACCTCAAAGCTAAAAACTTTCTGCGCATGCGCATAGGCGTTTACGCGTGCGCGTAAGACCTCTTAGTACTGCGCATTTGCATGTGCGCAAGTGCAGAATACGTTTTCGTGTGCGCGTTTTATGTATAACGGACGGTGTAAGCTAAAATTATCTAATTATCTATTTCAGTTAATGTTGATGATTGCGTTGTTCCCTAATTTTCGAATTGGATCCGGCTTATTATTTTTTGCAGACTGTAAGAGCAATACTATAAAAGTAAATTTGAACTTTCGATTATGTCAAATAGAATTTTTGATTCTGGAGCTCCCAAAGGATCGTACAAAACGAAAGTATGTTTCGATGTCCATCAAACAAAAAGTGGAATTGCTGCAAAAAATGGATAAAGACATGAAGAATGTGACAGAGAGGTTAGTGAAAACGAAAAAATTTCGATTGACAAGTTAGTCAGTATTCTCGGCACAGCAATTAACAGGACTTGAACAGCGGAACTTTGAAAGTGAACAAAAAATTATGTCTGCTTATAGAATTAAAGAGAAAGTATTATCACATAAAACGAAGCAACTTAAACAACTTACATTGAAAGAAATGTTTAATAAAGTAAACAAATAAATATTAAGCTTTTTTTGTAAATTTTGATACCCTTTAGATCATAATTGTTCTTTATTTCATAAATTACGGTTTCATATTTTTAATTTTAGAATTTCTGCATGTCATCTTACGCGATTTAAACTGATGATCTATAATCCGGAAAAATCGATAATCCGGAATCGCCGAAGTCCCGATTAACGACTGTTGACTGAGTTATATTTATTATTATAACTGAGTCCGGATTAACGACTGTTGACTGTATTATAGTATTATAACATCAATAAATTTATACATTTAATTAAAATAATCTTGTATTATTAAGAATATTAATTTAAATAAAGTATTTTAGTTATACATGGTTAGTTATCTAATAACAGCTCGAAATATAATTAATTAAATATGAATATACATATAATTAATGAAAAAAATGCATTAATTTTTTTCCAGTAGTATACAAATAACTTTACATTGTTTGATATCATAAATATTTTGCGAGCGTGGTCAACCATACTATTACAATAAACAAATAAATATTATCGTATTATAACATCAATAAATTGATACATTTAATTAAAATAATCCTATATTATTAAAAAACCAGAAACTTTAATAAAGTATTTTATTGTCATACATAGTTATTTAATAACAGATTTTGACATAATTAACTAAATATGAAATTACATGTAAGATACTAACTGTACCTGCTAAGATTCCAAGAGATTGAACTACAAGGATGTTTGCACGGAATTTCATGATGCAAAGACCACTGACTTAAATTCATTACATCTGGTGCTTCATATATTCGAACTACACCATCAGCTGAGCAAGTGGCCATTTGCAAACCAAGATGTTTTGGAGCAAACTTAACATCAGTAACAGGTGTCCTACTATCTACTAAGCTTATTTTTTTTACCCATTGTGACTGGGATTTCTCGCCTACTGAACCTTCGGGACCTACATAATAATAAAACATACGAATATTTTATTAAAAAATACATGATAAACAAAATAATCATTTTGAAATTTTACAATGATTTTACATCTTCTATTCAAATATAAAGCTCGATTATAAAAATGAGAAAATAACAAATACTACTGGCCTCATGTAAAACTTCATATAACACTTCAATGGAATTTAATTATGCTAAACAAAAGGAAAGCTAACAAAATATATTTGCATTTGATATACTGGATGCAAATAACAGAACCCATTTCTATTTTTATTATGTAAAATAGTGTTGAGATGGGTGACAGAAAAAGAGGAATAGGAAACTCTTCAGCCTGCTTAAAAATACAGGCAAATTGTTAATAATATTTTTCTATTAATTGTAATATGAATTAATTTTCTTCCCTATTATTTTTAACTGCTGCCGGATTAACCATGATTTGGAGTAAAGCATAGATGTCACTACCATAAAACAATATTCAGATCTTAAAATCAACTTTTTGAAATTTAGCAATTCTGTAAATGGAAATTTGAAACTCATAATAATACTACAAAAAATTTTTTTTTAAAATTTACATTCAAAAGTTTAAATACATTGACATTAAATGCATTGATACTTTTAACAACTTTTATATATGATATTTAATTATGCAAAGGAAACTTTAATTCACAATCGTTTCTTTACTAACATAGCTGAGAAAAACAGTTTTTTCCTTGCAGTTTCTTTCTGAAAGACATGTACAAAAATTTTAATTTTGTACAATTCTACTAAAGGTATTATGTAAGCAAAACTGTCATAGCCTGAAGTTCTTTCATATCTGACTTATACCTTAAACATGAATCATGGGTCTTGAGCCATTTATTCAAAAAGCTGAGAGGTTTAGTGTACTGGTTCTCAAATTCTAACTTTTTCTGTTATGCTTAGGTTTCATTTAGAGAATAAGTTATATTTATTATCATAGGTGGCTGTGCAATTTATGATTATAAATGTTAATTACATAGAAATGAGAATTTTCATTTGCTTTTATTTTTAAAGCAAATAAATGTACCATTTTGCATAAAAATTCATTTAAAATGATACAGGAGAATCTTGATATCCAGTTATACTATATAAGTAAATAATTTAGAACAATGGTTTCCAATCTGTGTTCCCAGGTTTCACTTAAATTTCATAAGGGCTCTGTGGCTGCTCCAAAAAAAATAATAATAATATAACTAAAATTGATGAAATTATAAGTAACAAAATGTACAATAAAAATTTTAAAAAAAGAAATAGAAATTACATTCTGAGCTGAAATTTGCAAGTTCAATTTCGCACCTAATTTAGCAAACGACGTCAGATTAGTTTATCAATTTCAATCAGACATGATTTAATTTTTTGAGTGATTGATGAGAAGGTACGTAACTCTATTACTGACACTTAATCTATACAGGAATGCTGCATTTGCAGTGAAAAAATAAAAGAATTTAAATTCTATTGATAGAATGATAAACAGAAAAATGCTTATAATTTGGAATATCAGTATTACATGGATGAATATATTTTTTTTTAATGCCTGCTTACACATTGCCAATAAATCTCCAATTTAAAAAAAAAATGAGCAATCCCAAGGACACGATGTAGAAGTAGTTGGGGGGAGGGGTGGAATTCAAAAGCTGTTTAAAGTAAAATCTGGTTTAATCATGGACAGACTTGACATGGTTTTGGCAATTCAGATTAACAGAAACAGCAGGATCTTCCTCACCCTCATCTTAATGAGGTAAGTAATTTTATTTTGAAAATGCCTATAAAACAGTTATATCATAAAATGTGACATTGTTAAATTCAGAAAATATGCTCATACTACTGTTAGATATTTTATAGTACTATATTCTAGCCACATTATTCCCATTCGTCAAATAATAATTTTGCTTCATGAATCAGCAATATGACTGATGTTATCAGTTGCATCAAGTGTACCAAATTTGCACTGCAAATAGGTGAATTGACAAAACACCAGGTTGGTAGTTTTAAAGATTTGCTAGGCTTACTTGCAAAGCAATTCTTCTTTGCAACTACTGCCAATTAGTAAGCATATCAGGAATAAAAATATTAAATATTTTGAATGTATTCTTGTGAAATGAAATACTGTGGAAAACCTGAGCAGATACATGAACTTATAATGCATATGCAATGCTAGGTCATAATGCTGAAGCCATTTCTAAATTTGAAGGCAAAGAAATGTAGCCGCAACCATTGCTTCTTCATTGATGCTGTTACATGTATCACAGAGACTCCAATCACACACACACAGTATCACACAGTATCTCTGTTCACAGTATCACACAGACTCCAATCAGTAGTTACACTTCAAACTACTAGCAACATTAAACACAACTCAATGTAAAGAGCACCTAAAGAGAAAGCTGGAGCTATCTCAGTTCACACTGAATTAACTCACAACAACAATAACTAAACAACTGAGAGCAGATGGTCTCTCTCTGGCCTTATACAGTTTTCAACTTGCTGAGATATTTCTAGTACTTTCGGCTTATTAAAAATTATTAGAAAACAATATGAGGGTTGAATTAAATTACAGCTAACACAGTGGTCGGTTACATGCAAAAACATTGTGACAAACACATTGCAGGCAAAAATGTCGTGAAGAAAACAATGCAAGGCAAAAATGTGTAGTACAAAACATCGTGGGAGAAAAGAAAGCCAAGAGGAAACATCACAGTTCTAAACATGTGGTAAAAAAATAAGTGGTTGAAAATAAAGGGGTTAAAAAACTTCGCAATTTAAAAACATTGTCGTCGAAAATATTGTCGTAAAAAATAAAGTACCTACAAATCACCGAATGATGATAACATTGCACACACACATTTTACTGTTTTTAAAAGTTGTAAATGCATTTTTGCATAATGATTTTAAAATGAAAGAGGGTGAAAATATTAACAACACTTTAAGAATAAACGGAAACAAAACAAGATATAATTTTCTCTAAAACAATAACTGATTAACAAACATGACAGAAAATAATTTGATAATTAACTAAGCAATTAATTTTTATACAGGTAACCTCATGCAGTTAATCATCTTCCTTTTTCTAAACATTTTTAGACTATTTTTCATGAAAAATTATCAGTAAAACTTTATATAAAAAAAGATTAATTTCATTAATAATAACAGAAAAAGATTAATTTATTAATAACCTTTCTTAATTAACTATGCAAATTTAAAATTAAGTGCTATAGAGTTGAATTAATTTTCTACCCATTTTCAATTTTTAAATGATTAAGTTTCCTTCTTAGTTTTTCAGCAAAATTTATTAGTTTATTCAAAAGTACGAGATATAGAAGTAAAAAATCCTTCTTTCCTCCTGCGTCCCAGATCATTATTCGAAAATGCACTTACTTTTAAAACCTGAAAAATGCATCTGTGTAATGTTATCGTCATATGATGCTTTGTAGGTATTTTATTTTTTATCATGATAGTTCCAACAACGATGTTTTTAAACTGCAAAGTTTTTTAACCACTTCATTTTCGACCACGATATTTTAGAACTGTGATGTCTTCTCTTTGCTTTCTTTAATCCCATGACATTTTTGCCTTGCGTTGTTTTCGTCCACAATGTTTTCGGCGGACACCCAGTGGTCAATTACATTTACCCAATAATAATACTTATTATGGTAATAACAGGGAGCAGACAAAAATGTCACCAAGTTTGGTGACTTTTGGCGATTTCTTGCCAAATTTGGCGACAAAATAAGTTGCGATAACCATTGTTAGCTTGGTGTTATCTCACCAAATTACTTAGATACCAATTTACTTAATGTTAAATGCACTTGCCCCTGTATTCCTACTGTTCTGGCATAGCTTGTCTCTTTTAGATTTTTCTTATATTACATTGCACCGAAAAATACAATTTCACATATAAATGGACTAAAATTACCTATCTAAGTACAAAATTTGTAAAAATATCAAGTATACTTGAGAAAAATGCCTTCAGAGCTTTTGATAGCATTGAATGACACTATAAAAATCATAAACTAAATAAAATCATGACCTCTTAAAAACAGGCTCTTCAAACTATAGTGTATAGACTGGAAAGACACCATGAGTCTCCTTAGTGCTGAATAAGCTGCTTGTCTTGAAGCATTGGCATGTTTGATTGAACTGTGAGCAGAGACATTTCTGATAAAGCCTGGGTATGTGAACTGTAATATTTAGTCAACAGTATTAGCAAAATGAACAAAATCAATCTATGATTGTAAAGAAAAGATGTCACAGTTTTTATGCAAATGCCTGAGTGTCTTCTTTTAAGAGGAACGTTTTCATGCACTGGTTGGAGTGCATGAAAAAGGAAGATACTGATTGCTTTCCTCTTACAAAAGGCTTCGTGAATGAAAATAACATCAAAATTTAAGAAAAATTACAGAAAAATATTCATAAGCATCTTGACACTTTGAAAGACTTGCTCGAATAGTATTTTCCAACAGCTCTGAAAGCTTTAAATGAGTTGAAGTGTTTGGCATTGAACTAAAAACTGTGTTTGAAAACCACAGCGAAGTAAAACCTGTATTTCAAAACTAAGGTTTACACGAGTTTTGACTGTACTGAAAAGATTAAGTCAATAATTTGTCTGAGAAAGCAAAACATATTGCTGCCTTTCTCGAATACACACCTCTGTGCAACAAGATTCTCCATTTATACAAGTACATTCATCTGCAATCACAAAGAGAAAACTATGCCAAAAATTACAATCACATGCGTGTCTTTAAAAAGGTTTCTATGTTATTTTTATATTGCTTTTAATTTAGGCCTATTATTGTAATACAGTGCACTCTGATTCTAAAATTATACTGAAATTGTTCTCTGTAAAGAATAATAAAAATTTTTATTCACAAACAATGGTTGAATATACATTTTAATTAAATTTGATATAATGATTAAATTAAAAGAGCTGTATTTATTGCATGTATCTGATTTATTGTTGTTCTCACCAATAATCTGTTGCATTGCAAA